TTCCAATGAGCCATTTGGAATGCCTCAGACTTATGTGATACTTCCAAGGAGTTAAAAGTAGAATTCACCTTGACCATGAGAATACTCTATTGTACATCACTCATTCTTTCCACATACCTGAAAACAAGAACAAAGTGAGGGCAGTTTTGCCCGTTGAGATGTGGTCATTTATGAATGACAAGAAATCCTTATTAAATCTGGCCTGGCCTCAAATGTGTGAACGTCTGCTCAGATTCTCCAGCGCGACAGCTTCTAGCATGTGCCACCACCCCTAGTTGGTTTTTTATAATTTAAGAGACACAATGTGTCCAATACTTTAAAGCAGCAAGTTAGGCATCATTTGTACATACATTTTTTTTCTGTCCAACAAAATAAAATTTGGTCCTGGAGAGCTGACTTAGTGCTAGAGTGGGTACTAGTCTTCTACAGGACCCAAGTTCAGGTCCCAGCACCCCAAATAAGCTACTCCCAGTATCCTCTAATACAGCCTGGGGACTCTGATGCTCTCTTCTAGCCTCTGCAGACAGTGTACTTGTGGACACACGCACATACACGAACGTACATATCCATGAAAATAAAACAAATCTTCTTTAAAAAGGAAAAGATTTCAAACAAGGGGACAAATCAAGGTGCAGCAGTGATGAATCACTTTTCCATCAGCAGCCTTTGATGGTCTGTGACTTCCGCATTACAGCATCCTTCCTGACTAAGGAACCACGGGAGCCAGGCTGATGGTAGGTTGCTATGCATTGTGTACAGGCAAATGACCTCACAGAGGCAGAACCCCCTTAGAGGTCTCCCAAGGGCAAGAATTTCTAGTATCTAGGCAACTTCCTTTTTATATTCCATGATAGCTAGGTTTGAGGTCTGGCCCAGCTCTCCCCGCAGAATCCTCCAGAGGATGTGGACCTGGTGGCCATTTAGCCGACAAGATGTTACAGACAATAGAAATACAGAAGTTTCCAAGTGTTGCTCTTTATGTAGGGATAAGGGGAAGAGTGGCTCTCTGAAGAGATTCCCAGGTGAGTCAAGTCATTATGAAAGTACTTCTAACTTGCAAAAGCATGGAACATGTCATGGGTGCTGCACAGACACGGCAAATTGTTACCTACCCCCCTGAGGATTCCTACCTCCTCCACCCCCAGGGACCTTTTAACAGCTGAAATATAGTTGTTGAAAATTTACTTCATTTGCTTACTTCTGATTAGTGTAAATTTTTTTTTTTATGTCACTGGGCTTCCCTCGGGGTCTGTCTAAACTGAAACTGCCTTCCTAGTCCCTTCAGTGTGCGTAGTTCCCCTGGGAGCAACCTAAAAGATCCTCCGTGGTCTATTGGCCTGGCTGTGTCAGCTCTTAAGCATTTGCTCAAAGAAGAATCTGGCCTGGCCTCAGGTTTATTCTTAAACAGTTCCTTCCAGCTTTCTGTCACTCAGAGATCTGAGCCAGGCAGCCCGGTGGAAAAGGGCCGAAGGCACAGCCCGATGTCAGGCAGACATTCAGTAGCAAAGAAAGCACTGAGCCGTAGGCCAGGCTTCTGGCATACTCTTGCTCTGAAAATTTGATCCCAACTTGGAAAGAAAAGAGACTTGCACCCCCCCCCCCCCCCGCCCATCACACACACACACCACCGAAGCTGCTGCAAACTCTCTTTTCCAGACTTTTTCTTAATGACTTATTTGTAACAGCTTCGCAGAAGTCTGTAATCTAGTTTTCCAGCAGGGCGGATTAGAAGCAACAGGAAGAGATACTGCAGGCAAGGGAAGGAGGGACGGGACTCAGAGCAACTAATGGGGGCTGTTTCCATTGAAAGCCTGATAACATGGGGGGGCTAGGAAAACAGCATACTATAACATAAAAGAGGGTGTGGTTGTGGTTCCCCGAGCTCTCTGGGTAGGAGTTCAAAAGGGGAAAAATGTGGGATCCAACAAACATGGAAGCCCCTGCTTTGTGACCTTAGTACTTGAAAGGTAGAGGCAGAGGAATTCTGAGTTTGAGGACAGCCTTGATACATTGCAAGACCCTGACTCAAAAAACTCAAACAATCTGACCAAAAAAAATTAGAGAGAAAAGAAACATGAAAGGCAGGCAATATAAACACGCACATTTTGTATACTATTAAAATATTGCTAAAATTCTCATACTTTTAGTGTTTGGCTGGGATTGTGGCTCAGTGGTAGCATACTCCCCTAGCATGCGTGAAGACATGGGTTTGACTACCAATGTAGCTCCCAAAATAGTGTTCAAAATGTTTTCACTTAGCCCAAACGCAAGCATTTCTAAATTTGCTCTAGCTCATCTGGGCTTCAATTCTAGAGTTTACTGTGATGGGAGTATGGTGCTTTCCGTTGGAAGACCGTGAAGCCCGAGATTGGTGAGTGATTCAGAGACTGCTTCAGATGGGATCTGCACACAAGAGTCATGCACTCTCTGATCTGCCATCCATAGAGGGGCTAAATTTTGGATTTTGTCATGGACCCCATCAATCACTCCTAGGCTTTTCCTCATCCCCAGCTTTGGCCCCAGGAGCTACCTCAGTGGAAGCCTGAGCTGTGGAGCTGGAGACCCCTAACAGGACATGACCAGTCCTCGCGCATGTCCCTGCCAGGTCGTCCTGTTGTTTACTGTACTGACGGCCTCATCTATCCCGTTTGTCAGTGCCTCTGAGTCAGAAGCCTAAGCAAGGTCCACACACTGCTGCTCAGAGTCGACTCTTGTTTCATCTCCTATTCACAGGGCCGTGAGCTCTGTTGCCAGCTTCTGTGAGCTGGCTGGCCCTGGGTGCGAGACAAATGCTGCTTCGGCCAGAACTTTGGGCTGCAGTCACATGCATTCGCAATTCCCTTACTTCACTTGCTGGCCATTAACAGTCTGGCCACGTTCCCACTGCCAGCAAGGTCCGCTTTTTTCACTGTGCTCACTGGCCTCCTACCTCTACCTCGTGACAAAGAGTATGACTGACTTGGCTCAAGGCAAAGAAGCATTGAGGCTGCAGAGCCCCTAAGGCAGCCAGAAACATGTCTCACTCAGCCCGTGCCGTTTTAATTCCTTTGCTCAGCCTTCTGCTATGCTTCCCTTGTCTAGTCCTGACCGCTCGCCACTGAGAGATGGTTTCTGATTAGAAAATTCTCTGTATCCAACATTCTTCAAGGAGGCTTCTTAAAGATGCAGAGCTACTATGTGCAGGACGAAGGTAGTGTAGAGAGCTAACTGGTGATCAAGAAATCTGGGCTCTTGCCCCTGCATCAGCTGAGCAGTGCTGTGTGATTCAGGACAAATCTCTTATTCATCTGCCCGTGGGATGGGCAGAGATGAGTGTGCTCTGAGGTCTAAGCAGTAAGCCTTCCATTTCTGATCATCTGTTTTCTAGAATGTACTCTTTTTCTCTCTCTGTCTGTGCCTATTTGCAACTGAACCTCTCTGTTCCAGAAATAGTTACTTTGTTTGTTTGGAAGCTACTCTGGGAATATGGGAAGATTTGGAATCCTAAGAGTTTTCTTACTTCTGGAATAATATAAAATATTTTGGAATTTGGCATCTGCGGGGTTTTATTTTGGAGTTGACATATGGAATAATAAAGTTACTGCAGTCCCATCTGGAATTTTAAACACCACGTCACGGTGAGACCATCCAAGTTTACCGTCACTAGTGCAGAGAGATTGGCGAGACCTTTCTATTCGCTCTCCAGCAAGTGTCCTGGCTGGGAGCAGCAAATGTGCTCTTCGTCCCTTAGCCCTGTCCAGGAAGAGCAGGGGACAGATCGAAAAGGACGTGCCAGTGGACTTGGACAAAGCTCCCGGGTAGTGGCAGACCAGTAAATGTCCACTGTGTGGCAAAGGGAGTCAGCCGTTGCGGAGCAGAGAGACTCGGAGGACAGTGTTCTCTGAAGAAACCCTGTCTATTCCTGCCTTCCAGCCTATACAGACTTGTTTGCTCTGGTTGGCAAGCCTTCTTTCCCCTCTGATTCAGAATCCTCCCACTCTGACTGGCTCGGCCTCTTCTGCTAAGTTCAGCGATCTAGCAAAACAGCACCATCTCCTCTTCCTTCTCCTCTTCCTCCTCTTCCTCTTTTTTTTAGTTTTGGAGAACCACTCCGTTATTCAGCTCTCTTTTAGTTATACAAAAAGTGCTGCATGTTCAGTGCCTACCCTCTGGCTGGCCATACTATATTGGCTCCGTGACTCCATCTTGATCCTTTCTTTGCCTCAGCTATAGTGAAGCTCTGAGGAGTGAGCAACTGTTTTCTGGACCCTCCGATCACCACCAGTCGAGTGATTCACTGAGACGATACTCAAGAACAGGCTCTGCTCCCAGTCCGTAAGGTTTAGAACAGTACAGGCTTCAGAGAAAAGGCAGCAGGAAAATGTATGTGCTGGATAGGGACAAGACTCCAAGTCTTATCTGGGGCCACCCAAGAGCAACTAAGTTATTAGGACACGTTCTCAGGAAAGTCTGGTCCTATGCCAGTTTCGGAGCCCTTTCCAGAATGAACCTCAGGACCCCAACATGAAAGCCGGGTGGGTACTTCTGAATCTTGCTAAACAGCCCCAGGAAGTCCTGATAAGCTTTCTTGCTCTAGATCAAACATCAGGACGGCGACAATTAATGGCGTGAAGATCGTGCAGTGGGCTGGATTTCCAAGGATTAACTTGGAGCACTAATAAATCTGTAACTCTAGTTCATAAAGGACTGGTCAACCAGGCTTCATGGATTAACCCTTTCAACAAAACTCTGAAAACGCTTCCCGCTTCCCAGAGTCCTTAGCATGGGATAATGCAAGACCTTGGCCTGTGTGCCAATGCTCAAGACTCACTTGTCGTAGTTTGCTTCCCATGTCCGGTTTTGTAAACATATTGACCCATTGCATTGTTCTAATCTAAGCATGTATTGTCCTTCTCCACATTTGCCTGGCTCTCCTCTGCCTCAGTCACGGCCAGCAGCATTTATTCTGTTGCTCAGGCTGAGATCTGGCAGGTGTTATTCATCTTTCTCTTTTACCTTACCTCACGCAGTCAACAGGCACGGCCCAGAGGCCTGTATCAGATGTGATCCTCCCACACTCTCCCACCTCCGCCATATTTCCTCTGCCCTCCTTGCCTCCTGAGTGTTCTGTTTGTCTTCCCCACTTGTCGTCTGGAAGGACCCTTTACAAAGCGTGTGAGAGTGTGTCGTTTCTAGGTGTTCCTCACCTTGTATGGCTTCTGAGCACGCTTGGAATAAAATGGAAGCATTTCACTCTCTTGTTTACGTTGTACCTCCAGACCTAGCGAATCTGTTCTTCTTCTTGTGTGGTATTTCTTCTTCCAGGGGTGTTCTTCAGGGAACCCCTAAAGTGCTTAGATTCTCCCCCTGATCTTAAGGTTGATTTCCTCCAGCAGATAATTAATAATTCTTTTAGCTACTTAAAAATAGCAGGCTGCTCTCTGTCCCTAAAGGTTTATTTAAACTCTTTGCTGAAGAAGTTGCTGAAGACCAAAATAAATAAATAATAAACAAACAGATAAATGACGAGAAAAAAAAATCTTTTTTTTCCCAGAAGCCAACATAGGGCATGTCAGCATGCTAGACAACAGCAAGCACCAGGAAGCAGAAGGGCCACCTAGAGCAGGAAGAATTTAGATGGCCAACTTTCACTGTGGCAGCGTTTGCCAGGGTTGATGTGAGGGGGACTCTTAGAAGGGACATCCTAGCAACTTGAAAATTCCAATTGGAAGGCAAGAATTAAGGAGGGCTGCTGTCTTCTCCGGAGGACTGATAGGCTCCAGGCATTACATGCAGAATTTTGGGCCTTTTCTGGTCTCTCTGGAACCTGCAGGTTTAAGGGGATTTTGCTCTTGTTCTTTTTTTTTCCCTTTCTTTTGTTCTTCCCGTGTCAAGCTGACTCAAGTTGGAGTCGTCTGCGAAGAGGGATCCTCAGCTGAAGAACTGCCTCCATTAGATTTACCTAGGAGCAAGTTTGTGGGAGTATTTTTCTAATTAATGATCGAAATGGGAGGCACCAGTCCACTCATGATGGTGCCACCCCTGGGAAAGTGGCCTTGGGGTAGATAACAAACCAAACTTAGCAAGCAAGTAGCGTTCTTTCATGGTCTCTGCTCCAGATTCCTGCCTTGCGTTCATGCCCTGGCTTCATAGACGCTGGACTGCACGCAATAAGCTGAAATAAATCCTTTCCTCCCCCCAACAGGTTGTTTATGTCATGGTGTTTTCCTCAGCAATAGAAAGCAAGCTATGACAGAGATCTATAGGTCTTGGGGTGTCTAATATTGTCCCTCTAGTATTTTTCTACTTAAAAAAAAAAACAGTCAGAGTTGATTCTGTGGTTTGCAACCAAAACCTTTGACCTATTCAATAGGCAGTAAAGAAAGTTGAAATCCATAATTCAGAGGTGCCCATGCATTTGGCTCTGGACATGACATTGAAGCTTGAATGTCAAGTATTATCACCCTGAGCTGGGAGGCACTGTTCCCCATTCTTTTTGGTGAATTGTTTTGTTGCATTTTCTTGTGACAAAAGTTTTTGATGTACTTTAGCTGGCCTTGATTTTGCTACATAATCCAGCCGAGCCTTGAACTTGTAGTGCTCTTACTTCAGCCTCCCAAGCGCTGGAATTCCAGGCAAGTGCCAACATGCCTGGTAGGAAACATGCTTAAAACGTGGAGCTAACACATCTAACACATCTACCAAGCCAAAGCAACTTGACAAGTTGTAGGTAGAGTAATATCGTCACATGTGTGGGTAACATTGTGTAACATTCTGGGAATCTATAAAGGTTCATATTGAAAAATGAGCATTCAAAGGCATTTCTTTATTTGGTTTTGTGTTATTGCAGTATGTAAATATATATGTATATATATATATATAATTTCACTTAATAACACACACATATATATATATTAGTTACTAAGTGAAACTATTTTGAAAAGTCAAAATTACAGTGATTCAGGTTATAAGAAGTGATCAGATCATAAAGAAAAGAAGGTGGCAGACACCACAAAAGTTAGCACAGTGGGTGACTTTAGGGTTGGGGTGGGCTGTATAGACGGCTAATGGGCTAATTAACCAGGTTCTTTTCTTTTTCTCAGTTTTGTGAGTCAACCTGCAAAGCAATGAGCTTCACCGTACTGTTTTCACACATTCTTCTTGTTGCTCTTTTCCCTTCAACCCTCCCTGTTCCTCTGCCCTTCCCTGTGCTTGCCGCTTCTCCCCCAGTAGCCCCTCTTCTCATTCCATGTCACAGATGTGTTGTTACTCTCTCTACTCCTCTCCCCGCCCCTACCTTAACGTCCCCTCTTCTGCTGAGTATTAATTAATTAATTCCAACACCCAGGAGACAAAGGCAACTAGGTATCTCTGAGTTCAAGGCCAGCCGGGATGACCTAGTGAGTTTGAAGCCAGCCAGGACTACACAGTGAGTGAGACCCTGTCTAAAAATTGAAAATAAAGGCAGGTAAACAAAGAAACAAACCAAAACCAAAAACCAATCTCCTCTCGCCACAAAACTCAAAACAATTCTTCCGCTCTCATGATTATATCTCTTCACATATTATTCCTTGACTGAGATGATAACCAGAAAGGCATTTATAATTCTCAGCTAAGTTACATAAATTTTATAGGCTATGTTCTATCATCAAAAATGGCAAAAATAGGGCTGGAGAGATGGCTCAGTGGTTAAGAGCACCGGCTGCTCTTCCAAAGGTCCTGAGTTCAATTCCCGGCAACCACATGGTGGCTCACAACCATCTGGAATGAGGTCTGGTGCCCTCTTCTGGCCTGCAGACATACATACAGACAGAATATTGTATACATAATAAATAAATAAATATTTAAAAAAAATGGCAAAAATAGCTATATTAGCTGCTCAGATAGGAATTCGACTTATGGAAATGTGTCCTGTCTGGTTAACTTAGAATTCTTGAAGGCTTCCTTACAGACCTGTGTGAGCATGGACTTCCTGAGAAGTTCAGCAGACAGCTTTCCCGGGGATGGGCAGCATCTTCTGCAGAAAGGATCATCCAAAGGAGATCCAGACACCATTTTTTGTCTTTCACCTCGACAGACATTCTTCATTCCTTTATGACTTTAGTACAATTTTATCCGTGTGTGAGGGGTGTGGGCGTGGGCATGTACTCATGCCACAGTGGGTTTGTGGGGGTCAGAGGAAAACTTGCAGGGGTCAGTTTTCTCTCCACCATGTGGGTCCTGGGGATTGAACTCAGGTCAGGCTTGCAGCAGTTGCCTTTACCGTTTGAGCCATGTCACCAGACCCTTGCGGAAACATTTTTAAAAGTACTATTATTCACTTTCTGTGAAAGTCTGGAGGAACTGATATTTAACACCCTATAAGCAGAAACTTAAGGGGATACAAGCTTTTTGTATGTGTGTATGTTTGTATATTTGTGGATGTGATGTGCGATTCTCCTCTGTATGCTTTATTTAATATGTTTTATTACCATTGGTTAATAAAAAAGCTACTTCCACCTATGGCAGGGAAAAACAAACCTAGGTGGGAAAACTAAACTGAATGCATGGAGAAAGAAGACAGAGTCAGGCAGACGCCATGTAGCTGCCAAAGGAGAAAGATGCTGGAATCTTACCAGTAGACCACAGCCTTGTAGTGATACATGGATTAATAGAAATTAGCTAAATTAAGATGTAAGAGCTAGCTAGGAATATGCCTAAGCTATTGGCCAAACAGTGTTGCAATTAATATATTTTCTGTGTGATTATTTGGGTCTGGGAACCTGGAAACCTAAGTGCAGTCTCCATTTGCTTGGGTGCTCATATGTGTAAGGGTTCACATGTATGCACATGCATATGGAGGCCCAAGATCAACATTAGATGTCATTTCTCAGGAGTCATCTAGTGTGTGTGTGTGTGTGTGTGTGTGTGTGTGAGAGAGAGAGAGAGAGAGAGAGAGAGAGAGAGAGAGAGAGAGAGAGAGAGAGAGAGAGGGGAGCATATTTTGGGGATTGAACACAGGTCCCTATGTTGGCACTCTACTGAGATGTCTCCGTAGCTCTAAATACAAGCTTTCTAAAAGCCATTTTGGTTTTATTTATATATTTTTTAACAGTGCTGAAGTTTGAACCCTGGGTCTTCTGTATGCTGAACAAATACTCTACCCCTGAGTTACCACTTTAGCCCCTGGAAAGCCATTTTGTTATACAGAAAACGAACCTAACACGTTCATATTATTTTACCCAGCAAACACAGCTGTAGGACATTTATGTTAAGGAAATAATTAATGGTATACAAGAACATCTATGTATAAGGCTGCTCTAAGCAGGAGTTTTATAACAGTGAAATCTTGGAAACAGTGTATATATTTAACACCAGGGAAATAGTAGAAAATAACATGTTATGCAGCCATCCATGTGGATAGTCTGAGAATATGCACATAGTAATGACATTGTGTTGAAGGCTAAATGTTTTCATTACCATCTCCCGGTGACTCAAAGTCTTCCCACAAATTCTTATTCCTTTGTGTGTGTGTATGTGCACATATATGTGTATGGTGTATGCACACATGTATGGGCAAGTGTAGTAGGAGCTGTGGTGGGCTGCATTCCCGCCCAGCTCTGCACGGCTAGCTTTACCCGAAATAATTACACGGAAACTGTATTCTTTTAAACACTGTCTGGCCCATTAGTTCCAGCCTCTTATTGGCTAATTCTCACATCTTGATTAACCCATTTTTAATAATTTGTGTAGCCCACGAGGTGGCTTACCAGGGAAGATCTTAACCTCCGTCTGTGTCAGGTGGGAGAATCATGGTGACTGCCTGACTCGGCTTCTTTCTCCCAGCATTCTGTTCTGTTTACTCCACCTACCTAATTTCTGCCCTATCAGGCCAAGCAGCTTTCTTTATTAATTAACCAATGAAAGCATCAAATAGACAGATGACCCTCCTCCATCAGGCAAGTACCCGTGCAAAATGTAGAGCCCAGAAAAGGGTGCCCGGTGTTCTGTTCTATCACTACCCACCTTATCCCTTTGAGACACTAAACCTGAAGTTGCATTGGCAGTCAGAGTGACCCAGTGGTTCTCCTGTCTTCAGCCTATTCCCCAGCACTG